CCCCCGGGGGGCTCACCCTGCTTTCTCCCTGCACCAGATTACAAAAACAACATCCTGAAGGAGAGGGCTGAGCTGGCTCACTGCCCTCCGCCCGCCAAGCACATCGACTTGGACAAAGGTGAGTGGCTGGGGAGGGAGGCCGCTGTCCCTCGGAGCCCGGCCAGGTCCCNCCGAGCCCGGCCAGGTCCCGCTCCACTCCCTCTCAGAAGGCACCAGCCAGCCCCAGGGGAGGAGTCCCTGGCCACCTGGGCAGTCTTGCTGGATGGGGAGGTGGAGGGCAGCCGCCCACCCACCTGTCCCCTTGGCTTCCAGAGTTCAGGAAGGAGTACTGCAAGTAAGGGGATCGGGGCTCCTGGCTGGCCAGCAGCTCTCCCACCCCCCGTCTGTCCGTCTCGGAGCACATCTTCCTGACTGACCCTCCTGCAGCTCACCTGGTCCCCTTCCAGCGGCTGGTCCCGCTGTCCTGGAACTTGGCCCGGACTGGTGCAGAGTGGGCGGCCTGCAGAGCCCTCTCCTGGGAGCCACCCTCATTCTCAAAAGTAACAGTGGGCTCCTTGGGACCCTGCCTGTTCTGCGGCTGTACCCAGGCCCTCAGCAGCCCCTCTGCAGGCGCTCACTGCTGGCCCTGCCCCCCTCTGGCACAGCTGAGCCCTCACTGATGTTCACCAAGCCCTCAGGCTCTCCAGGCCTCTGCCCTCCGGAGGAGCCCAGCCTCTGCAGGGGAGCTCAGCACAAGTCTTGGAGCTAGGGTCAGCCTCAGGGCCGGCGCTGCTCCTTCTCCACGGCTTCCTGGGGGGAGCGGCCCGCTGGCTCCCAGACTGCACTGTGCCTTACCCAGCCAGGCCGCCATCGGCTCTGCACAGGGACCTGAGGACTGCACACTGCTGGCCCTGGGCTGATGCCCCTCTGTGGTGCCTCTGGCCACCTGGGGCTGCCCTGGGCCCTTTCTCTGCTTTCCACCCTGCTCCAGCCTCCTTTGCAATAAGCTGCCTTGACAGTCACTGGGCTCCAGGTGACTTTTGGCCCCTCCCTGGGCTGGAGTCTGGGGCTGGGGCATCATTTGGCTTCTGTTTTGTTTGAGGACCTGGGAGGGGTGAAGATGGCTCTAGAGTGGCCTGTGCGGCCACTCCTGACACCCACATTTGCTCCTCTTGGGGGATTGCCACCATCACAATAAAGACCTTTCTGATTTATAGACTTGGCCCCCGATATGCCTCTGCTGCCCCCCTCCACCTCCCAGGGGGCAGAGTCTGGGCCTTGGAATCCCCAGACTCAAGATGAATTTCCTTCATCTAAAGTCCCACGATCATCACACATGAGTGGAAGGTCTGGGAGGGTGTCCTGGGAAGGGGGACCTCAGGATTCTGCAGCACTGATGCCTGGTGGGGACGGAGTTTGTGGTCAGCTCCTGAGGGTTTATTTGAATGTGGGGGAGGGGAGCATGCTGGTGGACGTGAGGACGGGGTGGTGTTAGTTCAGTCCTCTGAGAAGCAGATGGGACTGGATGTGTGAGGATGCAGGTGGATGGAGGGGGCAGGAGGAGGCAGGGCACCTGCAGACAGGGTGCAGGTGTGACACTCCTGGGGGGAGGGGCTACAGTAGGAAGGAGCCTGTTTCCCCAATCCTGACCCCATCCTCCAAAGCCCTCCCAGGACACCAGGGAGCTGGAAAGCCCCGATGGTCACCTAGGGTTGGAAAACCTCCGAGCTGGTGTGTTAAGAACCTGACCAGTTGAATGAGGGGGCAGGAGCCACCCACGCAGTTGGGCATACGAGCTCCCACTAGGGAAATGAAAGCTCTGGGGCTGTTTTCATGAAGATGCAGTGTCAATAAACTCACACAAAGGAAATAAAGTCTCAAGATTTATTACTTTGCAGATCCCAGAAACAGCAGGGGGGGAGGGCAGGCCCCCCCGTCCCAGGTCACAAGCCGGCAGGGTAGAAGCACCTTTGACGTATAAGTGGTTGGGGTGGAGGTCACTAATTTTTCACAGGCTCAACTCTGAGTGGTTATTTTACAAGGTGCCCAGGAAAAGCAAGGTGGGAACTTGGGTGGGAATCCTAAGCTCGGGTCCTTATCTGAGTCCAGATTCTGGTGTGAGCCGTGGTAAAATGCCACGACTCAAATAGCTGTCCCCTCCACCCCTACACATACCCAAGGACCCATAGTGGCAAAGGCATGGAGGGAGGCCAGCCTGGGAGCTGTGGCTTGCTTGAGAATGTGCCTCTCTCCCAGCCCAGTGACCCCTGGCCCCACAGTGGCCACCGCTTCCACTGGGCAAGGCCTCACCTGTAAGGACTTAGGCTCTGGCCACAAACTCACCCCTCCTTCAGGGCCTGAGCCTGACCACACTGGCACCAGCTGGGGTAGGCTATCAGCTTCTCTCCTCCGACTTGGGCTGTCAAGTGGGACAGACAGCCTTGGGGGCTGGAGTGCAGCTGGGGCATCCGACCCCCTGCATGTGTGTGCCAGCAGCCATGCGTGTCTGGCGTAGAGGATGCTGGTCCCCCATGAGCTCTCAGGGCAGGCCCTGTCTTCCTCCTTCCCCGGACACCCAGCAGGAGGCTGTGATGGACCCTCCCTCCAAGGCCATCCTGCCTGCCTTCCTCGGATCACCTCTGGGGAACCGGAGACCCTGGCGGAGAAGGCCCAGGCTTTGCGGAATGGGTGCCAACCTCATAGAGCCAAGGGGAATGGAGGTCAGGACCCCTGGCCTAGGCTGACCTGGGGGTGGTCCCAGCCTGGGCGCCTCTAGTCAGTGGTGGACAGGTGGGGCCTTTTCCTGTGCTGGCCCACTGCCCGAGGACAGTCCTGACCAGGTAGGTGGGTCCAGCCAGCTGCAGGGCGTGTGCTGGGGACGGGTCCCAGGGGCATCACCCCCCATCCCCATCAATCTAGCGTCCCATCGTAGGGCCGCCCCTCCTGGTTGCTCTCCTGTGGGGCTCCTTCCGGCGGACGCCTCCCGGGGTTGGGGGAGGGAGGTCCCCTCACTCCAGTGGGAGCAGCGCTCAGGGTCTCCCTAGGGAGGGCCTCGTGCGGGTTCCATGGACGGCGGCCCTTCCCCGCTGCCTGCAGCACCTGCGCCCGGGCACCTCTGCGCACACGTGCGCGCTCCGGGCCGCCCTGGTGACCCCGCAGTCGCCCTGGATCACACTCGAGCTCACGCCCGCGCGCCGGGGCCCCCCGCTTTCACCTGGCCCCTGGGCACCGGAAGAGGGGGCGCGAGGTCGGAGCCGCAGCGGGGGCGCAAAGCTACGCGGTGTCCTCCGCTCCCCTGA